GAATACTGTGGTGTTTAGAATACCAAATTCAGTTTAATGATGCAACAACCTGTTCTTCGTAACTAGTCATGTCAATTTAGACAATAACAAGATTATCGCGTTATGTACGTGTTATATATGAGTTTGGATAAAGTTGTCACAATAAACTAAATCTTGTTCGTTGTGTTTAGTACTTTCCATTTAAATACAAATTAAACACCATTGAAGATTATTCTAGGATCTCTACCTGGCTTAAACTTCATGATATGTTAAGCTAATTGGACTGTATTATTCAACACCTTTAAATCACAGAATTAACTACTAATTGTACTCGCTGTGACTTTTTGACATTTAATAAACAAGTTCATCTACATAAATTACATAAGGTTACTGAAGTCAATTCTTTTTTCCGAGAACAAGGCTTGGCTACTGCTTGTTTCGACTGATAGTCTTAAAGTTTGCCTGTTTCGACTGACGGTTCTACTTGCCTGTTTCGGCTTAAGGTCTTGATCCACTCTCGCATTTCCGCCTGGGGATTGTTCAAGTTTAATAGACGGCTTGTAGCCGAACCTCTGCGCCTAAACAGTTTGCCTAAAACATCCTTTGAATTTTTAGACATATTGCTTGCAGTTAGAGATAAACATCCAACAAAAATTACTCGTTTCAAAGTTTATCCGAAATACACGGTCGTCTTTCCTAACCAGATGGCCATTAAAGATAAAATAGGCTCTTAAGCATACGGAATTTATTGTTCCTCTGTGACATCAAATCGAATTCTTATTGGCAACATTACCGGTAGTGTGAATATAGACTTAGTATCGACACCTTAATTTATAACCCTGACGCGATAAAAGGGGTTCAGGTCACCTTTTACAATTAAAGGATTCGAACATGTTTGCCTTTTTCAAAGCTAGCTAAAACCCTCAGAATAGTCTAAACGCAGATGAGTGATTAGCCATAATCGGCGTGTTCGATTGTCTTTACACATTTCTGCAATTATCTAGAGGGATTTGTCAATACGGATCAGTCAATGCACTAGGAAGGGTTTTAAATATTGTTGAAGTCAAGCACACCCTTCATTCGCCAGCCTATACAACACCTTCGGTCTCTCTATAAGACCCCACACGATTTGTCCCCTGACGTTCTAAGCAATACTAATTTTCGACCAATACGAACAGGTGACTCTTAACCACTGCAGGATATCTACGTGTTTTATGTACTTATAAAATATTTTATGTGTCCTTTGGGGGTATTGGTGGATTATATGTAACAAATTCTTTAAATGATGTGAAAATGTCAAGGTAGAAAAACGACGTACAATGTTTATCTGCACGCGTACTACATTTCCGCAAATTTCAGTTTTACTTTTGCGCAAAAAATTTTATTGCATGCACATTTCCGCAAAATGAATACATGTACGCGTACTTCTAGCTACAGTAGTACAGTTAGAAAAGAGTGAAAAAGAAAGGACTGATTTTTCTTTCGATAAAACATGAAAAGTGCATGAAAAATGAATTAAGTGGAAAGGATCGAATCTATATAAAGGACAGTCGGGTAGAAACAGACATGCTAAAGTTAACATCTATAAGTATACGCGTTTTTAAAAAAACATGTGAAAAACTAAAAATGGGAGTTTTTATTTTATCATGCAGCTGTTCTATGTTATCTTGTTCATAATGATAGTAGATTTTCAACTTATCTACATGTTCACCTGTGCCAATAAGTAACCAGGTATTAAATTGCGGAAAAGAAACTTCTTATTTTGCGGAATTTTAAAAACACAAGGAGTCTTTAACGAGACTGTACCTCTACTAGTGTGTATTTATAATAAAAGAAAAGTACCTTAGTGTAGTATACTTGTGTTCCTAGTCTAATTGAAATGTAGGAGTTATGTTTAGAAAAAAAAAAATCACAGAAATTTCTATTGATAGTAACAAATGGCAATACCGATTGTCGAAATCAAAAATCATTCAAAGAATCATTTATCAGTCTACTACATGTACTGTTTCAAGTCTTATTGAAATCGGACAAAAACGTATGAAGACTAATGTTTTGAAAGAATTTCACAGAAATTTCCATTTTTAGTAATCATGGCAACACCGTTTATCGAAATCAAAAGCCAACTATGTATCTTAGCAACGTCTACTTATGTACCAAGTCTTATTGAAATCGGATCATAAAAGTAAGAGTTGCGTTTTGATTGTTTGATTGATTATTTATATTGTATGTTGTTAAACGTCCTGTTCGAGAATTTTTCACTCATATAGAGACGTCACCGTATGCCGATGAAAGGCTTTAAACTAAGACCTATACTCGGTACTCTCGGCCTTTGAGCAGTGACGTTGCCTGCCGTGACACGGGACCTCGGTTTTTAAGGTCTCATCCTCAAGACCCGTGACTTTCATTTCTTGGCGAAGGAACAGTCACTACCTATGTTTACGTCTTCGGTTTGACGCGGCGCGGTGAACGAGAATCGAACCCGGGCCTCCCGATCACGAAGCGAACACCCTACCACTAGGTTACCATGACCAGTGAGTAGCGTTTTGAAAGAAATATAAAGAAATTTCTATTTTTAGTAACCATGACAACACCGTTTATTGAAATCAAAAACCGATATATTTATAACTACGTCTACTTATGTACCAAGTTTTATTGAAATCGGACAAGAAAAGTAGGAGTAGCGTTTTGAAATAAAATGTTAGGGAATTTCTATTTTTAGTAACCATGGCAACGCCCTGCATCAAAATCAGAAACCGATGAATAGCATCATGTATCTTAGTATAGTCTACTTGTGTACAAAGTCTTATTGAAATTGACCCAAACACTGTAGGAGGAGTAGGTTTTAAAATTTTTACACACGGACAGACGGATGGACGACGGTCACTTTACTAATGTATAAGCTCTTCTGGTCTCTGACAAGTAGAGCTAAACGATGCAGAATCGTAATACTTTTTTAGTGGAAAGGTAATGCCAATTTCTGGAAAAGTGGTTTAGCAGTAGAGTCAAGCATGGTGGGTTTTTTTTTCCAATACATTTCCAAGCCACAAGAGATGGATCAACAAAAGCAAATATATGGCAATTGTCCCAAGCATTTTCTGGAAAAAAAATATTATCAAAGTTTGCTAAACGTCTGCATGGCATGCAACTTTGCATACATTTTATACATTTCATTCGGTTTCTTAATTTATCAACCAGCTCATCTGGCGAATCAGCGCTTTTGTAAACTAAATGCCAATCTCTATAAATGCGTTTCGTGACAAACGTTGCTTGTCAACTTTTTGTTTCCACTTATCTACAGCTATGATAC